GGAAGGAAGGAAGGAAAAGGGAGGGAGGGAAGGAAGGAAGGAAGGAAAGAAGGAAACCTAGAGTCATCCTGAGGGAGGGAGGGAGAAAGGAAGGAAAGAAGGAAGGGAGGGAGGGAGGAAGGGAGGGAGGAAGGAAGGAAACCTAGAGTCATCCTGAGGGAGGGAGGGAGGGAGGAAGGAAGGAAGGAAGGGAGGAAGGAAGGAAGGAAGGGAGGAAAGAAGGAAAGAAAGAAGGAACGTAGAGTCATCCTGAGGGAGGGAGGGAGGGAGGGAGGAAGGAAGGAAGGAAGGAAAGCTAGAAACCTAGAGTCATCCTGACTCTAGTCTCACATTAGATTGATTATCAAAACCTATTAATTTTACATCTTACATATTTCTTAAATCTGCTTTTGTTTCAAACAGCTTTGAAAAGTATATAAATATATAAATCACATACTTTTGTGCTGGGCAGAGTGGCTCACACCTGTAATCCCAGCACTTTGGGAAGCTGAGGCAGGAGGCTTGCTTGAGGCCAGGAGTTCGAGACCAGCCTGGGCCACAAAAAAGTGAGATCTCATCTCTACAAAAAATTTTTTAAAATTACTTGGGTGTGGTGGTATGCACTTGTAGTCAACTGCTAGTCCTAGCTGAGGTGGGAGGATCACTTGAGCCCAGGAACTTGAAGTTATCATGGGCTGATTGTGCCACTGCACTCCAGCCTGGGCAACAGAGTGAGACCCTGTCTCTAAAAAAATAATAAATTAATAAATTCTATACTTCTGCTTCTTACCTGAAGTAGCCTCCTGCTTCCCCTGCCTTGTTTTGCCTCTGCCACCCACTCCCTGACCCCTTCTACCACACTCCTGCCAGAGATTTTTTTTTTCTAAAATTATAGACCTCCTAAAGTTGCCGATCTGATATTATAAATAGGATTCCGTATCAGTTAATTATTGCTGAATAACAAACAATCCCACAACTTAGTGGCTTAAAGCAACAAGGACTGATCATTTCTCAGGATTCCGTGGGTTGGCTAGGTGATTTCCTTGCTGGTTACGCCCGAGCTCCCTCATATGGCTATATTTGACTAGAGGATCATTTGGGCTGGAAGATCCAAGATGGTCTCTGTCATGTGTCTGACAATTCATGCTGGGTTTCAGAAGGGGCACCTCATGTCTCCTTTTCCTGATGTCTCATCCTCCAGTAGACTAGATCAACTTCCTTCCATGAGGATTTTAGGGCAGCATTTCAAAAGGGAGAAGGGAGAAGCTGTGTGGACTTTTGAGGCCTAGCCTCACGAACCTGCACACTTCACTTCTGTTATATTCTCTTTGTCAAAGCAAGTCACAGCCCAGCACAGATTTAAGAACTGGTAAAATAGACTCCACCTCCTGATGGGAACAGCTGTAAAGAATTTATGACCACGTTAACTTACCACTGGGTCCTGATCACCTTTAGGATGAAGTTCAAATATTTTAGCATGGTGCACAAAGTCTTTCAAATCTGGGCTGATTTCTTGCCATATACTGTATCTTTGGCTATAGAGAACTGTTTGTTCTTTAACCTTGCCATAAACCATCACATTTTCATGCTCTTGCTGTTCCTTGCATATTGCTTTGTATAGAGGTGCCATAGTGTATTTTCTTGTTTTTGTGTTACTTAGATTGATTTCCAGTTCGTCATTATGACCCTATAGTAACCATTTTTTAGCAAGTGGAATTACTTGTGGAATCAAGAATGTTGATTAAAAAAATTTTTTTTTAAATGCTTTTGATTCTTAATGCTAAACCATTCAGAAAGTTGCCAGGTTATACTCCAATTAGCAAGCTGTGAGAGGACCCAACTTGCTAGAGAGGAAGTAAGAGGTACCTAATACCTCCATAACCAAAATGTATTTTTTAGTTTTTATTACCAATTTAACTCCCCATATTTAAGAAAATTTTACAACCCTAATTAATTTGTTATATGTTTTGTAAGCAAATATGGTTAACAGCAGTCTAAAGATACAGGAGCATTCCTGAATAGGTTCGGAGCCGTTTGTTAACCTGGAAAAGTGGGAGGGTCCATACATGCTTTCAAATGACCAGAAATACTTTTCTCTTTTGAGAATAATTACTATACAGTATCACTGGCATCTAAGTATTACAAAGAGGGTATAGAAGCTGGGTGTGGTGGGTGGTCCCAGCTTCCTCAGGAGATGGAGGGAGGAGGATTGCTTGAGCCCAGGAGTTTGAGGCTGTAGTATGCATTTATGCACCTGTGAATGTCCTCTGTACTCCAGCCTGGGGAACATAGTGAGACTCTGTCTCTAAAAAAGGAGGGATGGGTAGAAATTTGAAAAGGGGTAAAAAATGGGAAGAGGAAAGAGACGACTTAGGGATAAGTTGGCAGAACATAAGTTTGGACAAACAAGTTTCCATCAAGTTTGCTAGATATAGAACTGCCTGATTTTTAGCCATTAAGAATGAGAAAGAATAGTTATATAAATTCAAAAGAAATCTGTTCATGTTATTATAGTTTTATAACTTAAAACAAGGATATCTAGCTGGGTTTCTCTTTGCATATCTTTGTTCTATTTTCTATTCATTACATTGTTTCAAAATTTAATTAATTTGTTAGTGGGGCCTTTTATAGCCCTATAACAGACCATTTTGGAAGTTGGAAAATGTAAGTTCTGTGGCAGTGCCAGGAGGTCTGTGTTGTAAAATAATTTATTTAAATCTCTGATGGTTATGAATAATGGTTATGCTCTTAAAAATTATAAAATGCTGTTTTTTCTGTCTGTAAGATGGAAGAATTTCTGCCTCTGCCTGAGAACATTCTCTGATTTTAGATGTGAAAGTATATATTAGTAATATGTTACATACTTAATGAGATCGTTTCTCATTTGTCTTTGAAGCTCTCCGTGGACAGGTTGTTCAGTTCAAGCTCTCAGACATTGGAGAAGGGATTAGAGAAGTAACTGTTAAAGAATGGTAAGTGAATCTGAAAAAATCTCTTAAGTAAATTTAAAAATAATTTGAGTAAAAATAACTATTTTTATTTTTATTTATTTAATGGATAGTTGGAATCTAAATTGAGAAACGTCTTTATAAACACATAATGCATTTTTAAAAGCAATAAGGTAGAATTACCTTGTGTCAATGATATAGTGGTGAAGGAATTTGTCATACATCAAGGTACTTTATTCAATGTGATTTAAAACTGTCAGGTAGTCTGAGCTCTCTTCACTGTACTGAAAATGACTTTAGTAAGAATGTATGTTTGACTTACCATTACCTGATACAGTTTACTTGCATGTTTAGAAGAGATGAAAATATTTTACCAAAAATCACGAATTGAAAAATAAATTTTGAAACATTGAAAAATTATCCAAAAAGGGCCTGAAAGAAACAAAACCCTTTCATCCTCTACCCCATTTCTTTATTTCACCTTCTGGAAAAATAGAAACACCTCTGGGTACCGAACTCAGTTTTAGAGGTTGTTAGAAGTGGCAGTTAAGATGAGAAATAGATTACTTCCCACCTTAGATTTACACCATTAAAGATCCTTTTAAGAATCTGGTTCAACCACCTGAACATTCTTTTCTTGTTATTTACTTATTTTTTACTTCTTTACTTTAAACATTCTTTACTTTAAACATTCTTTACTTATTGTTATTGCTTTGTAAGTTAGAAGAGAACTGTAATAACATAAACATACCTTACGGTTATGTCTCTGTTGGCATTGTGGGATTATGGAAATAGCAATGGACTTCAAATCATAAGAGTCTGATCTTGAAACTTATTAGCCGTCCTACCTGTGACTCACTTGGTCTCTTAATGTGTCATATGTGGATAACAGTACTTGCTCTGCCAACCTCTGGAGCATTGAAAGGATCAAAATAATGTCATATATAAGAAATACATTTGATAATACCTTCTTTTCAAGACCAAGACAGTAGTAAAAAATCTTTATAGAATTTTTTTTTTTTGGTAGAGATGGGGTCTTACTATGTTGACCATGCTGGTCTTGAACTCTTGGCCTCAAGTGATCTTCCCACCTGGGCCTTCCAAAGTGTTGGGATTACAGGCATGAGCCACTGCACCCAGCTTTTTTTGATTGTTTTAAAAAACCATTTCTTAATTTCTACCTCTTATTCTGTACACCCATATGCTTAGTATAGGGCTTATGGCTCTTAGAAGGGGAAATTATTTTATTCCTAATAAAATTCTTAAAACTCTTTTAATGAGAAACTAATCATTTGATTAGTTTTTCAGAAGTTCTTTAAGAGATATTAATAGCTTTCTTGAATTCTGTTTTTTTTCCCCTAACTTAATATTGTAAAAAGTAAAGTAGAGGTTCCTCTTCAAAGACGTTCTTCCTCATTTAATTAGGAATAAATAGTAACTTCTCTAAGAAGCAAAATTTATTCAAAGACCTGTGCTAACATTCTTAAATATCTGCTAGCCGTGATAAGGAAATCGATGTACTTTATGTTCTTAGCTCCTACAATTTAGCCTAAATATTTGCCCTGGCATGCTTATACTGGCCCAAGCAAGCATTAGGTCATAGCCTGTTCCTCTTCCTTATTTGAAGGTGTTTTTACCTTTCTCAGCATTCCACAAGTTACTTCCTCCTTCCTTTGTTCTCCTCTACCTTTGCCTCTTTTAAAAAGTTCTAAGTTGCTAGCCAATCAGGACAAATACAGAATGTGAGGTCCCGTTCCAGCCAGTGGAAACCCCGGACACAGCAGTAGGTTGGATGTGTCAGGTTATAAATGACCCTGTCTTCTTTGTTCGGTGTACTCTTGTAGCAAAACTGCTGTTGAATGTACTCTTTCTGCAGGAAGTAAAAATGGCCTTGCTGAGTAAATTAAATTTATGTTCAAGTGCTATTTCTTTACAGCACTGAGGAACAAGCATTTCAAACAATATCCATAAATAATTTAAGGAAAAAATACGTATTGTGTTGCACTTGAAATGCTAAAGGGCAGAATTCTAGTCTATAAAATGGAGCCTGAGAATAGAAATTTGAATATGTAAGGAAGCATAATTTAACAGAAAGAGTGTGGTTTTGGGTAAGGTTAAATAAAACCTCATTTATTCTTAGAATTTGTGAGAGCAAATGTATGGAAAAAGAAAAAACTACTTAAATTTCACAAATCCTTTGATAAACTTCTAAAACAAGTTTAGATGTTATATGTTCTTTTGTCTTAAAGTCTATTAGATAGTATAGCCACTCTAGCTTGCTTGCTTTCTCTTTTTTTTTTTTTTGAGAGACAGGGTCTTGCTTTGTAGCCCAGGCTGGTCTCAAACTCCTGAGATTACAGGCTAGCCATCACACCTGGCCTTGTGTGACATACCTTTTTCGATCCTTTTACTTTTTACCATTTGTGTTCTTGAATTTAAATTATATTTCTTAGCATATAGTTGGAGCATTTTTTTAGAATCTATTCTGCCAATCTTTGCCTTTTTATTGGAGTATGTAAACATTTTAGTGTATCTTTTAAAGTTATTTTCTTTGCGGTTGCCCTGAGGATTACAATTAACATGTTAATTTAAAACACTATAATTTGGATTAGTAGAAACTTAATGGAATACAAAGACTTTGCTCCAATATAGCTCTATCGCCTCTTCCTTCCTTTTGCTATTTGTCATATGTATTCCTGTTTTCCTTTTTTAGAATTATTATTCCATTAGCCCAGCATGGTGGCACAGGCCTGTAGTGCCAGCTACTTGGGAGGCTGAGGTGAGAGGATGGCTTGAGCCTAGGATGCAGAGGTTGCAGTGAGCCGAGATCGCATCACTGCACTCCAGTCTGGGCAACAGAGCAAGATCCTGTCTCAAAAAACAAAACAAAACAAATAATTATCACTCCATATTGAAAGTATTCCATTTTTAAACATCATAAAGCACATCAACACAGTTTTATAAGTATTGCTTTAATGTGGTTGTCTTGTAAATCAGATAGGATGTTTTTTAAAATTACAAACAAAAAGTTACAAATAAAACAAAATACAGATGTGGCCAGGTGTGGTGGCTCATGCCTGTTATCCCAACACTTTGGGGGTCCAAGATGGGAGTACTGCTTGAGGCCAGGAGTTCCAGACTAGCCGGGGCAACATAGCAAGACCCTGTCTCTACCAACAACAACCACCCAGATGCTCCTTAACTTATGATGGGGATAAGTCATAAACCCATCAAAACTAAAATGTCTTAAGTTGAAAATGTTTAGCCTAGCCTACCTTAAACATGCTTGGAACACGTACCTTAGCCCACATTTGGGCAAAGTCATCTAATACAAAGTCTATTTTATAAAGAACCGTTGAATATCTTTTGCAGTTTATTGAATACTGAAAGTGAAAAACAGAAGGGTTGTATGGGTGCTCAAATTACTGTTTCTACTGAAGGCATATTGTTTTTACACCATCATAAAGTTGAAAAATTATAAAAGTCAGAGACCATCTGTAGTGCCAGTTTTCCAGGGATTTTGCTTTTTGTGGTGATCCAAACCTAGTATTCCCCTTACAGTGGCTGCGAGGCTGCTGATTTGGCTCCTGCTGTGCTACGGAAAGGAGGATGGAAATTGGGCAAGTTAAAATACTACAAAACTCAGCCATTTTTCCTGAATACATCCTTCTTAGTTGTTGCAAGCCTTTTTTCTAATTTCCAAAATTCTGAAAAAATAGATTTTTAACAACTTTTGTCACCGTGCTTGTTGTTCATATGGAAGAGCAGATTTCCAGAAGTCTTTAATCCATCATTCTGGAAGTGAAAGTATGCTTTTAAACCTGGTTTCTATGTCATGGGTGCTGTTTTATCATAGGCTGAGGACTGGTTAGGATAGGAAGACAAGAAGCAAGAATGACAACAATTATCTGTTGCTGGCAATAAGTCAGAAATAAATGCTAGAGACATTAAGAATGCCATTAGAATCAAAATTAGATGTATTATTTCAGGTTTGGTCCCATTCTTCCTGTTTTGTTTGCTAAGACTCTCTAGAAAAGCCTGTAAAGTATACCTAAAATGATTATGGGGTTAGAAGGACTTTATATAAGAACAGGCTAAAATAATTTTAGAAAGAAAGACTGGGAGAACTTCTATCTAAAATTCACGAAATTACAAAGGATATGTATTGAGGACATCAATTTTTAAACTTGCTTCTGGAAGTATTGGGCATCCCTTAAAGTTTGGAAAAGGGTAATATAAGATAATAGAAGGAAATACCACTTTAAAAATGTATTTTTAGAACTTATTTTTCTAATAAATGGGTCAGACAGAAAACTTGAGAGTTTAATTAAATTTTTGGATTATAGACTATGGATTGCTTGAAATTTTTTTGAGTATTTCTTGCAGATACATTGAAGAGACTCTGGAAGTCATTATAGTCTTCTCTGAAACATTTCTTAGTACACCATCTGAAAGTAAATGCTAGGCTAGATGAATACTGATCTAACTCAGCATGGCATTTACATCCTTAATATGATCTGTACTTATGATTGTTTATGTAAAAGTGTCTCCTTTCTTTTTCTTTTAGGTATGTAAAAGAAGGAGATACAGTGTCTCAGTTTGATAGCATCTGTGAAGTTCAAAGTGATAAAGCTTCTGTTACCATCACTAGTCGTTATGATGGAGTCATTAAAAAACTCTATTATAATCTAGACGATATTGCCTATGTGGGGAAGCCATTAGTAGACATAGAAACGGAAGCTTTAAAAGGTATTGTAAGTCTGTTAATCTATTTTACCAAATTGATTATTGGTCTTTTTTTGTCATTGGGTCCCAATTAAAAGTGATCTTTGTTTTTTATTTTTTGTTTTTTTCTATTCCTATTTATTTTTGGCTCTTGGGGAAATGTAATCTTTTCTGTGTGAAAAAAGGCAACAAGTTCAACACAAAATAGAAATCTGAATTATAGGATAAGACAAAACCAAAGGTGGGGGGAAAAAGGCAATAGCAAAAGGAAGAGATGAGATGTTGCAAAAAAGGTGGAGGATGTCCCATCCTTTCTCCTCTGGGGAATGACTCAAACATTCAGGTGGCGTTATGCACTGTTCCACATAAGTCAGTGATGTTACTCATTTTGGAGGGGTAAGAAGGTTGGGGATGGACTTTTAATAACTTACAGGATTTGAGTTGGAGTTTTAGAAGCCCAAATCAGGAAAATTGAAAAGGTTCTCTGTGAGTCATGATTATCTTTTGGCCAGTTACCATGTTAAAAATGTGTACAGTAACACTTCATTTACCTGAAGACCTGCCTTCTGGAGACCTTAGTGTTCAAAGAGGCAACAAGCTCTCTCAGTAATTAAAGATTCAGGCTATAAATACTGGCCACTAAGAACAAAAATTGGAGTATCTAAAGATGAAATCTAACATAATGGATTGCTCTGTTTGCCACTGATACAAAAAAAAAAAAAAAGCACTCATGTTGGGGATAGTTATAAACTTTTTCAAGAGAAGTTGAAAAAAAAAAAAGCACTCTTGTTGGGGATGGTTATAAACTTTTTCAAGAGAAGTTGAAGAGAAAAGAAGGAAAATTAAAATGAAAGCAAAGATACCAGCATTTAGAAGAAGCAACAACCATGGGACTTAAGTGGTAGATGTCCTGTCAGAAGGTAATTCATCATGAGAATGTTACAGAGGAAAGCTAAAACAGTTGGCAGTCCCAGTGGTAGTAGGCAGCTGGCTGGCTAACTCAGAAGTTCCTTACAGCACTATTGTGGTATACCGAAGTTTTATCATCTAGGAATCAGTTTTGATACTAGGGGCTGCAAGAACAATAGGTTCTGTGACAGAACTCCTAGGCCAGCATTCCCACCGTGGAAGTGCTGAGATAAGATACCTCAGTGTAATTCAGAAGTCTAGAAGGAGTAATTGAATTACAGTGACTGGCTGACACTTAGTTCTGCAGTCTGTAGAACAATAACTAATATTACAATCTTTTTTTTTCCAGAATCACATCGTATAATTTATAAAATTTTTTTACATTTATTATTCTGTGAAGTATTCCAGTTTAGCAGATGAAGAAACTAAACCCAACTGGAAAGGTTGGACAGGCTGGGCTCGGTGGCTCACACCTGTAATCCCAGCACTTTGGGAGGCTGAGGCGGGTGGATCACAAGGTCAAGAGATCAAGATCGTCCTGGCCAGCGTGGTGAAACCCTGTCTCTACTAAAAATACAAAAATTAGCCTGGCATGGTGTTGTGTGCCTGTAGTCCCAGCTACTCGGGAGGCTGAGGCAGGAGAATCGCTTGAACTGGGAGGCGCAGGTTGCAGTAAGCCGAGATCATGCCACTGCACTCCAGCCTGGCGACAGAGCAAGACTCCATCTCTTAAAAAAAAAAAGAAAAAAAAAAAAGAAAGGTTGGACAATTTGCAAAATGGTTGGTAACAGGACCAAAGTTAGAACTTAGACGTCCTGAGTCCTTGTCCAGAATATTTTCTACTATGACATGTTGCCTCTAAAAGCTAGAATGTGATTTATTGAAGGCTTCCTACTACTTTTTATTATTATAAAAGCTGGAGGGGTGCATTGCAGAAAGTTATAAAATACAGAAAACCAAAACAACAAGAAAAATCATAATGTTCACAAATCACACTCAATACATTCGTGTATATCATTCCAGACATTTTTCTAGGTCATATGTGTACATGTAGGTATTTTTTTAACCAAAATAATATATTGTATATGCTATAGTCCAATCCGTTTGCTTTGTTCATCTATGTTTTCATGACAGTACATTTCAATTTTATTTTTTTGTTTGTTTGAGACGGAGTCTTGCCGTGTCGACCAGGCTGGAGTACAGTGGTGTGATCTCGGCTCACTGCAACCTCCACCTCCCAGGTTCAAGCGACTCTCCCATCTCAGCCTCCTGAGTAACTGGGACTACAGGTGTACGCCACTGTGCCTGGCTAATATTTGTATTTTTTTATAGAGATGGGGTTTCACCATATTGGCCAGGCTGGTCTTGAACTCCTGACTGCAAGTGATCTGCTGGCCGCAGCCTCCTAAAGTGCTGGAATTACAGGCATGAGCCACCACGATTGGCTTATTTCCATTTTATATGATCGACAGACCATATGTAGATTTCCTGAATTATCTCCCAAATGTCCTTGATATTTCAATTGATTTTTTTTAAACTAGGATCCAATATAGGCCCATACATTGTACCTAGTTGTTATATCTCTTAAGTTTCTTTTAGTCTAGTTTATCCTCTTCTACTTTTGTTTCATGACACTTATTTGAAGAGATTGCCTTTGTTTTGCAGAATGTCAGACTTTTTGGATTTGTCTTGTTGCATTGTGGTGTTATTTAACTTGTTCCTCTAGTCCTTATATTTCCTATAAGCTGGAAGTAAGTTTTAAAGGCTGAATTCAGGCTGGGCTCAGTGACTCACACCTGTAATTCCAGCACTGTGGGAGACCAGAGTGGGTGAATCACTTGAGGTCAGGAGATTGAGACCAGCCTGGCTGGCCAACATGGTGAAACCCCATGTCTACTAAAAATACAAAAATTAGCCGGATGTAGTGGCACATGCCTGTAATCTCACTTACTCGGGAGGCTGAGACAGGAGATTTGCTTGAACCCTGGAGGCAGAGGTTGTGGTGAGCCAAGATTGTGCCATTGCACTCCAGCCTGGGCAACAGAGCGAGACTCTTATCTCAAAAACAAACACACAAACAAAAGAAAAAACAAAAACAAAACAAAACAAAAAAATAAATAAAATTAAAAAATAAAGGCTGAATTCAAGTTAAATATTTTGGGTGGAACACATAATAGATCATGTTGTGTACTTCATGTTGCTTCACATCAGGATACACTTAACATCTGATGACTGCCATAGTGATGCTAAGTTTAAACACTGAACTAGGATAATGATACCCCCTACCCCTCTATTGTAGAGTTGTGTTTTCCCCTTTGGTAACCAGAAAATTATGTATGTAGTGTTAGCTTTGACACTAAATAAGTAGGTTCGAATATCATTTGAGATCCTTCCTAAGTCAATAATTGCTTTGGTGGTTGTAGAATGATGATTTTGGGATTCTGTCATTCCTTTAACATTATTAGCTGGCATTCTTCTGTCAAGTGGACCTTTCTCCTGTATCGGGGGGGCTATCTGTGTTGGGGCTACCTGTATGCTAACTGTATGAAATACAGTTCCTATGAAATACGGTTCTTACTAGAAAGAAAATAAATGCTTAATTCTTTCCCTTTACTGGTTCTCGAAGTAAGGAGTTCCTTTAGTAGTCACTTCAAATGGTGATACTAATTTTTCCAACATTCTCAGTGTGTGTGTGAGTGTATGGTCACATGTCACGTAACGATGTTATGGTCAACAGACTGCATACACAATGGTGGTCCCATAAGATGATAACACATCTTTACTATACTTCTTTTGTGTTTACATATGTTTAAATACACAAATATTTACCATTGTGTTACAGTCACCTACAATATCCAGGACAATAACATGCTCCACAGGTTTGTGACCTGGGAGCAATGGGCTATTTCATATAGCCTACGTGTGTAGTAGGCTACACCATCTAGATTTGTGTAAGTGCACACTCAAGTTTGGATAATTGTGAAATCACCTAGCAATGCATTTCTCAGAACATACTCCCATCATTAAGCAATGCATGACTGTATTTCAACTGATTTCATGTGTTTAATCGATTACAGTCATTATTCTTCTGGATGCTCAAACCCGTTACAGTAGTGACCCCTTCAAGCTGGCTCCTATGTGTTCTATTAACACGGTCCTGTTAACTTTTAAAAGCTTCCTTGCTTTTGGCACAAAAGATGTTCTGGGATTCACCTCATACTTTTCCCACCCACACCTGGAATCATTCTTTTCTTCAGGGGCTCTTGTTCCTTTAAGTATTAGTATAGAATGAGTAAGAGGCTATAATGTGGGCATTAGGGGTGCTTCGTATTACTTTGATTCTAAATTTCTTTTGAAAGACATTATTGGCTAGGCACAGTGGCTCATACCAGTAATCTTAACATTTTGGGAGGCTAAGGTGGGAGGATCACTTGAGCCCAGGAGTTTGAGACCAGCCTGGGTAACATAACAAGATCTCATCTCTACAAAAAATAAAAAATTAGCCAGGTGTGGTGGTATGCACCTGTGGTCCCAGCTACTTGGGAGGCTGAGGTGAGAGGATCACTTGAGCCCAGGAGGTAGAGGCTGCAGTGAGCTAGTGAGCTCTGTTAATGCCACTGCACTCTAGCCTGGGTGACAGCAGGACCCTGTCTCAAAAAAAAAAACAAAAAAACAAACAAAAAAAAACCATGCTTTTGTGATTTAGAGAAGTTTAAAGAAAAACAAAACAAAACAAAAAATTCACCTTTAGAATTACCTGAAATAAACACAGATTTTTTTTTTTTTTTTTTTGGATTCACATTTAGAAAGGAAAGAGTGTTTCATTCTTGGCGTAAACTGAGACAAGTAAGGATGCCAAACAGTACTATGGATGTCATGAAATTAGAATGCCCAAGCTGGAAACCAGATTAGATACCAATTTAAGCCATCTAAAAAAACTAGTTATTTATATGAACAAGTAAACAGTCAGAGTTTGTTATTTGTTTTGTTCTGTTTTTTGATACGGAGTCTTGCTCTGTTGTACAAGCTAGAGTGCAGTAGCATGATCATAGCTCATTACAGCCTTGAATTCCTGGGCACAAGCAGTTCTCGCACCTTAACTTCCTGAGTAGTTA